TTGGGGTTAAGTGACTTGCCCAGGGCCACACAGCTAGTAAGTGTCAAGTGTCTGGTCTGAGGCTGGATTTGAACCCAGGTCTTCCTGACTCCAGGGCTGGTGCTCTGTCCACTCTCCCTCCTAGCCGCTCCTGGCTGCCTGCTTTACAAGAGCCTGTGGCAGTGGCTTGTCTGCTTTGGGTTTTGATTGTGGGACCTTTTGGCTAAGTCTGTCACAATCTACCGCTGGGCACATGGCAGCCATGTCATGGCACCCCGTGGTGCATCTGTCTTTATCAGTGAAGCTTCTAGATGCTCCCAATTAAGTTAATCTCTCATGCAGGAAATCTTTCTCAAATGTCCATATCTCCCAAAGAGTGTTGGGCCCTTTCCCTGGTGGTTTGTTGTTGCCTTGATCACAAGGGCCAATGATGATGCAGTGGGCCGCCGTGCTGCCCTTTTTACAAAGCTGTGCCAAGGTTTGCAAGGCCTTTCTTGGGAGTCTTTTGGTTCCCTTGATGCTAAGCTGCTGGGGAGGCGGGGGCTTTGCCTCTTCCATTAGTCTACTTCAAGTTTGCTGTTTCTCCACCGTAGCCCAGGAAACCAGCCACACACAATTGATTTGGACAAGTTTGGTTTGGGGCTTCTCCTAAAGAGCAAAGTTCACGGCAGCTTTTCTGCTCCGAGACCTTTGTATATCCAAGCTCCTGGCCTTGTCTTGGAGGCAGGCAGGGCAGGTTACTGTCTTAAAGGCCTGATCTCACATGGGATCGTAACTGGACAGTGACACACCCAGCCCACCGGCAGGCGTGCCAGAGATGGCTTCACCGCCAGAGTGATCCCAGAGAACTCAGTTGAGAATAGCTATGCCCGTGCTCACTCCCCTGATATGCTTGGGATTCTGCTGCCAGCTTTTCCTTCACAGCTTCATCGGTGCTGTTGGCACTTAGGGGGAGTGAAGGTGGGCTCAGATGAAATGACCCTTCCGTGTTCTTTCCTGCCCTTGACTCCACTGGGCCCATGAGAGTCCTGGGCTGTGGCTTGGCCTGTGACTAATGGCTCTTTTGTTCCCACTGAGATCACATCCACATGTCACAGTCTTTAAACACCTGTCTCTAAGGGCTTTGCTCTTCCATGCTGGGCCTCGAGTGCTGCCTGAGAAGAAAGGAGAGAAAGGCTTTGTCCGAGAAGCCAGAAGCTGTTCTGGAGGAAAAAACCAAATCCCTAAGGCCTCTAGTGCTTCTCCAGGGATTTCTAAATGTCTAAACCATGTCACTGTCTACGGCAGATGACACCCATTTCTCTGTGCAAGGGCTGGCGATAAGCAGGGTTTTTTCTACTGTTTTAAAAGATTGGGAGAAAATGATCAGAGTAGAGCTGTTCATGGGCCCCAGCCTTAATGGCCATGTGGTCTGTTACTGGAATCAAGGCCTGCTGGACTGGGCAGATGCAAGGCCTGCTCTTCAGACTCTGTGCATGTGGGGGGTACCTCACTACCATCCAAGGCAGCCCATTGCACTTTGGGGCAGTTCTGATTCTTGGGGGAATTTTTCCTTATGTCGAGCCAAGATCATACCTCTCTGAGATTCCCCTCCCCCACACATGACCTTGCCCTGGTCCTGCCTCCTGGGGCCTAGTGGAACAAGACTGATCCCCCGCCTTCACTTGCTGGAGGATGGCTCTCATTTCCTGAGTCTTGTCCAGGGCAAATGTTCCCAATTACTTCGCCTGCTTTTCCCGAGGTACTTCAGGGTATGCTCTGGCTTCTTTGTGTCCTTCCTAAAATTTGGGCACCTAGAACTAAGCATCTTGGGTGTCTTCTGGCCAGGACAGAGCACCGTGGAACTCTTACCATTTTGTTACTGTTCAATTCTTCAGTTGTGTCTGACCCTTTATGACCCCATTTGGGGTTTTCTTGGCAAAGATACTGGAGTGGTTTGCCATTTCCTTCTCCAGCTCATTTGACAGGTGGGGAAACTGAGGCAAACTGGTTTAAGTGATTTGCCCAGGGTCACACAGCTATGAAGTGTCTGAAGCTGGATTTGAACTCGGGTCCTCCTGACTCCAGGCCTGGTGTGCTCTGTCCACTGTGCCACCTTACCCCGTTGCTTAATGCAGCCCATCTTGCTTTGTTGGCTGCAGTAGGATATTTTGTTCACTCTTGATGAACTTGTAATTCCCTCAAACCTTCATGAGCTTGGTTTATCTGGAAGGTTTTAGGTTCGACCAAGTCTGCTTTATTGTTTTTTGGAGATATTCTTTCTGTGTATCAGCTCAGTAGTGGGGCAGGGGTCAAATCCATGAGCAATTTCTATGCCCCAACCCTTCTCTTGGTCCCAGAGAAGAGATGAAGGTATAATGTGTAGTGAAATGGAGTCTGAGGCCTTGGCTTTGAATCTTGCCTCTGCCGCTTTACTGCTTGAGTGACCTTGGGTAAGTCATTTAACCTCCCAGTTCTTCAAGGTTCCTTGGGACTTTATGTCTAGGATCATGTGAGTCTCTCAATGGAGAGGTGAGGAGCTACAGGTGCTGAATATTGCATACTCTGCTGGATGTCACTTAATTTCACTTGATGGATTTTCTTTATTAAAAAGAAAGCTCATTTAAGGTGGGAAGTGGGGAAGGGGAGGGATATTTAGAAAGGCTTGCTATCAAAACAAAAGGCAAGAGGAGCTTTTTTTTTTTTTTTAACAAGAGAATTTGGGTAGGCTTCCTGGAGGAGGAGCCTCTGCCCACTGACTGCTCCCCCCCCCCCCCGGGAGGCAGAGCTTGACCATGACTCATTGCTTCATCGCAGTGATCCCATCAGCAACATTCTCTTACTACCCTGCTCCTGTGGCTGCAACTGGCCCACCCAATGAGATGGGAGAACCTGGAGGCATCCCCATGCCACCGCCTTATTCGTGTGACCCAAGTGGCAGCGACCTACCTCAAGGTAAGGAGGTTGGGGTTCCACTGAGACCTCATTCTGCTGAGAGACCTTCCTTGGAAACCAGTGACTTGGGGGTTGGGGCATAGAAAAAGCAGCCAAGCCAGCAGGGAGTTCTTCTGAAACGCTCAGCGGAGATCTCCCCAGGTCCTCCTTCCACTTCCTCAGTTGATGTAATAGTCTCCTCCATGGCACACTCAGGCAGCCCGGGGCTCTCGGGGATGGGGAGAGGCTTGTGGCCACCAGTGTGCCCTGAGCACTTGCAGCGGGATTTTAGGACTGCTTTGAATCTGGCACAGCCAGGAAGGGCATCCACGTGGGCCGGAAAGCCCTCTGCCACCCCAGATCCTAAGCCATCTGTGGCTTAGAAGGTCCTAGCTCAAGAGCGCAATTAGTCATCCTCCATTTGGACTCTCCCCATCCAGGAGATAGTGACCTGCCAAAGGTCACCCTTCCCTCCCCTGCCAGACCCCAGTTATGTCCTCTCTCCCCCTCCAGCTCTGCTGTGCTCCCCAAGCGTCCCCCTCCACACCTACGCTCTCTGTGCTGCCTCCATTCTGACAGACATGCTTCCTTTCATTTTCTCTCTGGCACTCACTGAGACTTGGATGACGAGCCTGCTTTCCAGGGGCCCAGCTGTGCCTTCTCATCTCAGTAGACTCACCAGTGTGGGGATTGAAACGTTCCCTGTTCTTTGTCATCAACATGTCCACGTGCACCCTCACCCACTGTGACTAAACATCCTTCTCCTTTGGGATTCACTCGATTGGGGTTTATGTGGATCATCTCAACCCAGATCCTGGTGGTGGTTACCTACCGGCTCACTGGCCGTTGTTCCTCCTTTCTCCATGAATTCAGTACTCACCTCAGTCTTTCCGTCTGCCACAGCGCCTGCCCTCTCACTGGGCGCTCGGTTGTGTGTTGCCTCCTGGGACGTAGGCCTCTTTTCCTTGCTCTCGCTATTACCCACGAGTGATGCAGTTCCATGGGGCTTCTTTGTGTTTGTGACCTCGCTGTCCAGGCCCTCCTAATGCCATCACGTGGCCTTCCAATCCCTTCCCCCTTCATTCTTTCTGAGGCCGTCCCCTCTTCACTGGCCGCATTGACCCTCAGCTCAACGCTCCACCCTGCTCTGCTCTCTTGTCTCATCGATGATTACGCCCTGCCAACTGTCGACCCCGGGTTATTCTCGCTGCTGCCATCCTCCACTCCTGCTCTCACACTACAGATCTGATCGAGAGGCCGGGACGATCCAGAGACGGCGATCTCTCCCACTCAGTACACCGCTCTTCATGCTTCCCGTGGCACCTTCCTCTACATTTTTAATTGAGGACTGGGCCTCGTTCTTTACTGGAAATTGAGACCATTCCATGAGAGCTCCCTCTTCTCCCCTTCTCCTATGTACCGGATCTCGTTTTCCTCTGTCACACATCACCAGGTGCCTACTAGACAGCTCTTCCTAAAACAACACATCAAAACCAGCTTCTCATCTTCCCTTCCCCCATCTTCTTTATGACTGTCAAGGGGGTCACCCCATACTGCAGCCTCTGACATTCTCTCCCCTTCTGTCTTTGTCCCCCTATACACCACACCTTGTCTCTTCTGTCTGTATGTTATCTTCTGCTACCTACATGCTGGTTCCTCACTCATGACTGCCCCTTGGCCCAGATCCTCATCTCTAACCTGTCCTATCACGTACAGCAGGAACCTGCTGCCGGGTCTGCCTGCCTCAGGTCTCTCCCCGGTCCAGTCTGTTCTCCACTGAGCATCCCAAGTGATTTGGGCAGGTTTTCCCATGTCTTTCTCCTACCCACTAAACTCTCATGGTTCTGCATTACTTCTGGGATCAAATAGAAATTCTTCTTTCTGGCACTTTAAAACTCTAGCCACCTGCCCCCTTCCCATTCTTCTTACACACTACAGACATAGCAGCCCATTTGCTATTCCTCACACATGACAATGCTTCATTTCCCATCTCCTTGCCTTTGCTCTGGCTGCCCCCATGCCTGCCTGCCTCTGCCTCTTGGAATCCCTGCTTTTCTCCCAGACTTGGCTTAAGCAGGTTCTGCCTTCTGGAGGGGCCTTTTCTGATCTCTTCAGCTCCTTGAACCTTGCCCTCCAACACACCCTTTTAGCTCTTCAATCTGGCTTATGCATGTACCGTCTCTTCCATTAGAATAGAAGTTCTTGACCTTGTACAACCCCCCTCATTTAGAAGAGGAGTCAGGACCTTAAAGGCTTGTCTACAGTTGCCCAGCCCGGTGTCAGAGGCAGGACGTGATCCCAGGGCATTCTGATACCAATGCTGGCAGGAGGCACTATGTTACTCTGCCCTCTCGTCAGCTTTGTATAATCAGGGGGTGTTTTTGCCTCACTCGAGGGCAAGGTCTGGGGCTGCCTTGGGGCTTAGCGGCCTGTTTTGCTGTGCCCTGTGTGCTCTGGCAGAATAGCATGAGGGCATCTTAACTGTTGGCCTGCCATCTCAGGTGCCCAGTTATTGTGGGTTCCCATCCTTCTGTTCTGCTGTTTGATTCTCTGCTACCTGGACGCTTCCCGTTACCTAGGAATAGTCTGCCATTCCCCTGGCCCCTAGGTAGGCCTGACTAAATCTGCTGACTCCGCTGCCCAGGGTCCTGCTGCATGGTGCTGCTGCTGCCACCTCTCACTTGGGGCATACTCGAGCGGAGCACGTGCTGCAGTCCTGCTGCACCGGCGGGTTCTGCCGCTTCATCCCTGTGGAACTTTGGGCCAGTCCCTTCCGCTCACTGGGCCTTGGTAACGTGAGCCCAGGAACAACAGATGGATCCCAGGGGCTTCAAGGTCAGGCCCAGGAAAGCCAAGAATGTGGTTGGTGCTTGTGATGGGCCTCCTTCTCCAGTGTATAACCCACCTGGTTCTGGTGGTCTCCTCCTTATTCAGACCCCACCAGCAGGTCATTGCTCTAGCCCAGGGGTGAGGAGCCTGCAGCCTCGAGGCCACTTGTGGCCCTCTAGGTCCTCAAGTATGGCCCTTTGAATGATGAAGTTTGAATTCAGTCAGAGGGCTACACTTGAGAACCTAGAGGGCCACATGTGACATTGAGACTGAAGGTTTCCCACCCCTGCTCTAGCCTCTGGGCCAGCCTGGGCAGGGCTGAGTAAACTCTGAGCAGCATTTTTGGGGTCTCTCAGTTGATTGTGGTGGCACCATCTGGCAGAGAAGTGGAGTCTGCCCTCTGGACTCTCACTGTTGTCTTTCTGCTTGAGAACTCTTCACTTTTCCCACAGTTTCTTTCCCTTAAGGACTTGGCATGATTCTGTTTTGCATTGATTTGCATAAAAAAGGGGTACAGTTAGAATTGGTTGAGCCAACTAAGAAAAAGACTTTTCTGACCTGGATTTCTGCAACTTGGTAGTGGTGGAGGTTAGCATTGGGCTGTTGCCCTCACAGGCCTGGAGGTGGGGGACCGTTCCTTGGAGGAGGAAGCTACTTCCTTGGCTGCTGTGCCCTGATTCCATGTCCATCCTGCTCTTGTACCCCAAGGCAGTGTTCTCTTCCCCCCTCGGGGATGCCGTGAGGGTCTTGGCAGCTCTGCTTAGGAACACCCACCAGGACGGTGCCAGCTGTAGACCTGTGGGCCCTGAGGCCTGGCCGGGGGCAGCCTGCTGGGAGCTGCTGATTGATGCTCTTGGCATTCTTGGTACTTTTGGTAGCACTTTGCACAAGTAACAAAACTGGGGAGCTGGAGCTCTCTCCCTGGGGAACAGCTAAGGAACAGCTCTGATCTCAGAGTTAAGCTCAGCTAATTGGCTTCTCTACACTCTCAGCTCTAAAGCCTAGGGATAATTAATGCACAGTTTTGCTCTATTGATTTGGGAGACAGCACTCAAGTCAGCTTCCTTGAGAAAGCACCAAGGGCCTTGTTTGTTTTGGGTTGGGAAGTTGGGGTTGGCATGCATGCCTCACGAGCCGCTTTCTTTATATTGCAGATACCAAGGTATTGCAGTATTATTTTAACCTGGGGCTGCAGGTAAGAACTTTTGGGGCATATTTGGCCCCGTGCTGAAGGCTTTTCCTCTCTTCTGACTTGTTTGCTTTCTCCTTAGCAAGCTAAGCTAGGCATTAGGAAGTGGTTTAGCGACCATGGCCTTGGGGGAAAGCAGGCCCTAGGCCCAAGTTGGGGCCAGGTTGGCTTTTGCAGTACTGGCCGCTGGACCTGCTCACATTTCTGGTGGGCTCTTTGACTTTGGGCCCAGAGAAATTGGAACAAGGCCAAGTGGTGTTTATCTGGCGTGTTCAGGCTTCCGGAGCTTTGAGGTATGGTCTCTCTCTTGAGCTCCACAACGGTAATAGTGGCACACTATTACTGTATTATTATTACGTAGTAGTAGTATAGAATTATTTCCTCATTTTACGAATGAGGTAATTGATGTCAACTGATTTGCTGAAAGTGGCACAGTAAATTGTCAGAGGGTTTATGCCCAGGCCTTCTGGACTCCCAAGTCTAGTGGTCTGAAGGGATGGAGGCGGGGAAGGAAACAAGCATTTATATGGCACTTACTGTGTGCTAGGCACTGTGCTAAGCACTTTACAAATGATTTCACTTGATCCTCACAACAGCTCTGAGAGGTAGGTGCTGTTATCTTGATTTTACAGATGAGGAAACTGAGGCACACAGAGTGACTTGTCCAGGGTCACAGAGCTAGCAAGTGTTTGATTGAGGTCGAATTTGAACTCAGGTCTTCCTGCCTCCATGAAGCTTTGCAATCCAGAGTTACCTTCGTGACTGGCAGAGGACATGTTCTTTTCAGTGCCTTAATCATAGAACTGATAGGAAGGCTCTTAAGTAGTGAGGGAGAGGAAGCTCCTGGGCTCGTGAGCAGCAGCCAGCTTTGAAGGGATCGCTAGGAAAGGAGACGGGAGGGGATGGCTCTGTGCTCTTGGGGGCAATTGCAATGCTTTTCTAGAGCTTCTTCCCTGTCTGGAGGGGGCAGAAAGCGACTTTCTTTCTACTCATTCCTCTGTCTGTCTCCCTGTGAACGGCCCGGGGGGCTAACCGTGAAGCAGTGGCCTTGGCGAGGCTCGCCACCACCTGCTGCTCCAGCCCTTTGCTGGTTTGCCGGCTTGTCTTATAGGCTCTGGTGGCTCTGTGGGGCTGCTCCTTCTCTCCATTCCTCTGTAGACTTGACAGGACTTGCGCCAGAGAATAACAGGATTATCCAAGAAGCGGTTTTCCCCTTGTGTTTGGAGCTTTTTGCCCTCCTTAGTTTTCATCATCTCCTGGCAAGGGTGGGGGAGGGGGGCTGGCTGGGGCTCCATGTTTGTCCCCTGGGGTTATTCCTCCCCTCATGGCCCTTACAGTCCATTCACGGGGGTGGCCATCATTGTCATCGTCGGCACAGGAGGGCTCTGGAAGATTAAAAAGCTCTTCCTTTCTCCCCTTTCCTAAGTGCTACCATCAGAATTACTGGCAGTCTGTGGTCTATATGCCCCATCTTCAAGAACAACAGCAGCCACCACCACCACCACCCCCGATGCCTTCTCAGCATGTGGCTCCTCTGGAAGCTTACCCTGTTTATCCCGAACATGTGCCGGTGGCCGACCATGCAGTGTCTCAGGTGTACAGTGACCTGGGGAGGGCGGATAACCCGCAGGTTCCTCCCGAAACGGCAGCTGGCAGTGAGTATGCAAGAGGCCGAGCTGTGGCAGGTAGGGCCCAAAGTGAAGCTGGCGCCCCGTGCCTGCTGCAGTGCTGTGCCTGCATGTTGGGAGTCGGGGGCAATGCCGCCAGGGCTAACACAGCGTGAAGGAGGGCCGTGACTCGGGATGTTAGTGCTGCCCTCGGCCCTCGACCCTTTGCTCTTCCCGGCAGACCCTGAGGTCAGAGGGCACTGATCCCTGGGGCCCTGTTGGAGCCAAAGAAGAGCTGATGAGGCACCAGTTTAGAATTCCCTGTGGCAGCATGTCAGGCTGGGAGTCAAGAAGACCTGGGCTCAAGGCCCCCTTCTTATGCTTACTAGAGCCTGGGCAGCTCACGGACAGGCACTGGTCAAAGTTAGCCCCAAAGGACCTCTGACGTTGGGAGTTTCCTGGGCCTCGCAAATGGGAGGCCCCTGGCTCTTAATGCAATTGATTACAAGAGACTCAGTTGTCTTTAAATCAGCCCCAGTCCTCTCATGGTTTACACCAAGCCTTTATCCCCATCATGGAAGCATTTTTTTCCCCTGATGCCTGTAGCCACTAAGGCCAAGTTATCGACATTTGGCTTGTTCTGATGGCTCGTCACTTAGGGGAGAAAAAAGTTTCACCAAGATACAAACTATTGCTGGATCTTGAGATAACAGCCCTTACCAGCACTATTCCTGTGGAGTCGTGGATTAAACATTATGCATTCTGAATCCACTGACGTAAAGACCCATTCTTAGGGGTGTATTTGATAGTGAGGACATGGAAATTCAGTCTGCCTCCACAAGAATCTGCTGGGATCTCCTTCCTCTTCCCCAAATCCCTTCTGCTGGAACTGCCCTGGTCCTCTCTATTGATAGAGGGTCATCGATTTCTAGTTGGATGGGCCTGTAGAGGTCAACTAGTCCAGCGCTTCTTAAACCAGCCCTAACCCACAGTTTAAGAAGTGGGAAAATTTTAAGAAACCCTGAGCTAGTCTAACCTTTGGGGAAACTGAGGTTGGAAGGAGTTAAGTGGCTTACTCAAGGTCGCACGTAGTAAGTGGCAGAGTTCTGATTTTCAGCCTGGTCTTCCGACTCCACGTGTCACATGCCTTGCCCTGTGCGCAGCTGAAATGAAGGAATTGTTTGGGCCCCTTTGTGTGCTGTGAGATTTGGATCTGCAGTGAGTGTCTTTGTTTATTCTGACTGGCTTATGTGGGATTTGTGTGTCCTTCAGGTGTCTATGCAAACTCTGACCAGCTACCACCACCCACCGGGCCTGTCTACTATCCAGTTATGCCAGATCCCTACGGCCAGCATGCTCTGCAAGGATACGATCCCTGTGTTTCCATGGTCCCTGCTTATCACTATGCTGCTCCATGGCATCAGATGGGTGCATGTGGCACCTCGCCCCGAGTCCATGGTGCTCTGAATCCTGGCCAAGTGCCTCCAGTGAGCTATGTTCCCTCAGCAAATCCTGCTGCAGCTCACTATTCTCTTCCAAACATGTGAGGTCGAGCAGAGCACTCCCACTGCCATTTTGCTTACATTGCCATGAGATGTGGGAAACATTTGGCTAAGGATTGGTGTTGCTTTCTTGCTTTCAGATGGTTTTCCTTTGAATTCATGTTAGTAGTTTACAAAAAGATTAAGCTCTATTAGAGTGCTGCCCCTGGAGAGTTGAGGTTTGACTGCATGCTGAACCCCCAGCATCACGTTCAGCTGTCCTCTCCTAAGCTGCCTTGAGGCCCCTTGGCATCAGCTGACTGGCCTTGGGTCACACCAGCTATTTCTTTGGTCTTGTTTAGCCCGCTAGAATTGGTGAAGGTCTCGCTATGAGCTCTTCCCGAAAAAGACCACTCAGGTTGCCTTACTTGTCATTCAGGCTGGTGGCATGGCCCCATTGCCCCATGAGCCTTAGGTTTGCCTCAGACTCCACTTTTCCAGAAGGGCAGTTGTTACCTCTTGCAGCCTTCAGATGCTGCTTACTGTTTAGACTGAATTGTGTTGGTTTGTGACACTAATTTGGGGAAGGCACACAGCGTTCCTTTACGGGAGCAGCAGAACAGATCCACTCGTCTCCTTGAGTGCCTTAAACGTCTCCCTCCCAGAGAGACGATCGGTTTGTGTTGTGTTGCTCAGACTAGTGAATTAAAAAAGCATTCAAATTGCCAAAGTGTGGGTTTCTTTTGTGGTGGCAGACCTGGTTTGCATTCTGGAGAGATGGTGGGCCTTGGTGTTGGGTTGCAGCTGAGTAAATGAATGAGAATAAACGATAATGGAGGTCGACATACCATTGGTGGGAGGGAGAGTGGGTGCACGGCCAACTGGGAAGTTCTTTGTTTGGATGCTTCGTAGCCCTGGGGGAGTTGGAACAGGATGGTGGCAAGAACCACGTTCCTCATCGCTCATCTTCACCCCTGTCAAAAGAGAATTCTCTCAGATAAATGAATTGGAAAGGGAGGTATGGGGAAATGGGAGAGGGGGTGCAGTCAGCTGAGCAACCAGGCAAGGAAGTATGCAAGTGGGATCTGATCGACCAATGTGGCCAACCGAGATCCGGAAGACCATTCACACACAGTGGCTCCAGAAATGCCGCTGGCGCTAGCACAAAACAGAATGAATTTAATTACCTGGAAAGAAGAATAGAAAGGCGGGAACCAGAAGTGCCTTTTGAGGAGGAGGTCTTTGTAAAAAATTTCCTCCAAGGAAGTGTGGCCGTGAGTGTGGGTGGGAGAAGTTTGGGGGGAGAGGACACTACGTATTTGGGCAGAGGCTGTATAGGAGATGTTCTTTGGGGTGAGTTACCAAGGGTTTTAATGAGGGTTTGGGGGGAAGAGTGGATTGGAGAGCTCGGCATTTCGTGATAGGTGGGAAGGCCTGGTTCTAATGCAAAGGTCACCTGCTTGGATTCCAGGGACACGTGCCTAGCAGTAACTAAATGCCAAATGTAGACCGGCTGGAGGGTGGGCCTGTAAGTCAATAGCATTTCAAATACTTAATGAGTGTGGCAGAGGTAGCATTGGGGAGGGGGCTGAGGATGGAATTGGGAAGCCCTAGATTCGAATCTTCCCTTGCACACATACTGGCTCATGCCAGCCTTCTCTAACACCCTCGGGACTACCCCCCCCCCAACTTGTGCTTGCAGTTTGGGGCCCCAGAGGGTGGCTGCTCCTTCAAGTTCTGGGACTAATGCTTAGAGACGACTTGTAACACTGTGGAGAGAGCTCCCCAAATATCGGGCAATAGCTTCTACCAGAGTGCTTTCTATTAACAATCAGCCAGTAGAAACAATTCCCTTTTTAGTAAGGGTATTTCTTTACTAAGACGGTGTAACAACCATTGGTACAAAACGTTCCTCCCTTTGAACTGGGGAGTCCCTCTCCTCCAAATAGCGTCTGTGAGAAGAATTGACTCCAACTTAGAATACACTGGGGAGAAAGGCAGGTCTGTGGGGCAGACGGTGCTTGGTGACCCCTGGTCCTGTGTGGCTACAAGTTCTTTTCCTGGGAGAATTCTCATCTAGCTGCCCATAGGGGGCAGTGTTTCTTGGTGGGACTGCCTTCTCCCTTTGGTAAGTGTCTCTCTACGTCTCCGTTCGTCTCTGGCTGCATGTGTCTGCCCCTGTCTGGATGCACTGTCTCTTACAGATCCAGTAGACCTGATGGGTTGGTTGAGGGGCCTGGGGGGTAGGGAGAGAGGCCCAAGCTCCCTCCTCTCCACCTGCCAGGAGAGCCTCCCCCACAAGGCCTCCCGAGCTTTGTCTAGCAGGTTTTTCTGCCCAATCAAAGGGGTTCACACCTTATAAAGAGGTTGCAGGGCATAGAGGCCTCTTGTTTATAGTAAAACTTCACACGTGTGATCACGTTGATTGAGGTGGGGAGGGAAATAACTCTTTTAAGGCTCGCAATGAACATTTGTTAAGTGCCGCTACGTGCGTGCAAGGAGCTGGAGGTGCAGAAACAAATGGAAGTCCTTGCCCTCCCCGAGTTCACGTGTCCTGGGAGTGGGGGGCTGAATGTGGCCCATCCAATAGCCATCCAAAGCAGGTACAAGGTAACCCGGGGGGAGGGGATCAGGGAAGTTCCTGTCTCCTGCAGAAGACAGCAGTGCAGAAGAGTCTGGAAGGAAGCCCAGGATTTTAGAAGGTGGAGGTGAGGAAAGATAGCGTTTTAGGCATGGGATGTGGGCAATGCAAAGGTGGAATACCATGTGTGAATAATAGCCGAATCCACCAGTATGGCTGGCCAGGCAGAGTGTGGAAGATTAGACAGGTCTGTAACGGGCCTACACGCTTCGGGTCAGTCGCTGATGTGATACGACATTCATTTATGCCTTTCTCTGTCCAAGCCACAGAGAATGTTGCTGTGCAGAGACCTGGGGCCCTCTGCGATTTTGCTGCACTGGTCATACGTTGCAATGGTTGCTGCGGTCAGGTACAGGTAGACAGTTCCTAATCCACCTGACAGTAGGCAGCTCTAGCTGGTCACCAGGATCTACGAGAGATTTCAGAAATCCATTGGGCAGCATCTCAGGCATGCTGTGGATTGCATTGAGGAATCCCGTGGTCTAGGCTGGGGAGAGCTGGCACTCTGGCCCACGGGAAAGAGCTGGGAGAATGCAGATGGAGACAGCTCCTGCCTCTGCTTCCCTGAAGACTGCCTTCACAGCAATTCCCAGAGCACCTAACTTGGGGAGGGGGAGGGGCACGCAGCTCCTTGGCTGCCTGGATCAAGGTGGTCTTCTGGAATTCAGTCCTGTGAAGGAGACCTTGCCTAAGGTGAGTGTGACTGCGGCCCTGACTAGCTGACCCTTGTCAAAAGGAGGCGTGGCTAGTTTGGTACCACTTGTTCTTGAAGAGGCAGTTCTCTGTTCCTAATGTTCATTTCATGTCTGCTAGGTGGCGCTGCAGTGGCTGGAGTCAGGTGGACTCATCATCCTGAGTTCAAATTTGCCCTTAGACACTTGTTAGCTGTATGACCCTGGGCAAGTCACTTTACCCTATTTGCCTCAGTTTCCTCCTTTGTAAAATGAGCCGGTGAAGGGAATGGCAAACCATCCCAGTATCTCTGCCAAGAAAACTCTAAACAGGGTCACAAAGACCCCGAAAAGACTGAACAACGGTATTCGTTTCTTTCCTTTCCAAGTGTTCACAAACCACTTTTAATAACATGTAATAGAAGTTTCCCAGGAATATCTGGCAAACTTGCCAGCCTATCGGCCATCTTCCCTTTGTTAAATTAAGTTGGGCTCGTTTGCCCATCTCCAGGCCTCTTGTATTCTCCATGATGCCTTAGAGATTAGCCATACTTGGTGTGGTTCCTGTGCCTTCCTTGAATTTCCTCTTTCCTCAAATACATCCTTCTCATTGGCCTGCATATTTATTGTAAATCTCAGTTCATCACTGCTTTAGCCTTCCTAATATTCTGGTAGGACCATGTGACTCCTTGGCCTGCATTCTGATTTTGTGGCCTTCTGGAGTAAGGAGGTATCGGGGCCTGACGGTTTTGCTCTTTCTTGGCCCCTTTGGAGTTCTCGTGGTCCTTAAAGTTTTCTTCACACCATTCATTTCCAAATACGTTTCATGTTCCCCACACAGACTGACATGGTACCTCAGCACACATGCACCCAGCACATCCTGCTCCCTCATCTAAGGAAGGAGCTTCATTTTCTCGTCTGTCGTCTGGGCCGGTGGTCAGCTTTTGCGTTGTTCTCATTGGCTGTTCTCCTAGTTCTGCTCACTTCACTCTCCAGCATATCACATGCGTCTTCCCATACTGCTCTGAATTCTGCATATTCGCCATTTCTTAAAGGGCTGGAATATTTGTCTACCACACTTCGTTTAGCCATTCTCTGAGTGAGGAATAATTACTTTGTCTCCAGTTCTTTGCTACTACAGAAAGTGCTGCTAGAAAGATTTTAGTGTGCCAGGGACCTTTCTCTGTGTCTTTGATTGACCTTGGCTATAAGGGCAGGGAATAAGCATTTATATGAGCTCAGACTTTTTACAAATATTATCTCATTTGATCTCAAAACAAGTTTGTGAGGTAGGCATGGTTATTATTCCCATTTTGCAGTTGAGAAAAAGTGAGGCAAATAGAGGTTAAGTAATAATAATAACAACAATAATAGTTAATATATACGTAATGCTTACTATGTGCTAAATGCTTTACTTTATAATTTGAGCCTCAAAACAACCTTGGGAGGTAGATGCTGTTATTAACCCCATTTTACAGATGAGGAAACTGAGGCAAACAGGTTAAGTGACTTGCACAGACAGGGTCCCACAGCTAGTAAGTCTGTGAGGCTGGATTCAAACTCAGGTCTTGATTCCAGGCCAAATGGTCTACGCATTGTACTACCTACTAGCTGCTGTTGGGGTATGTGCCTAGCAATGAGATCACCTGCTTTAAAGGGTGTGAGACATTGGGAGGCACTTTTTTTTTTCTTTTTGGTTTGCCAAAAATGGTCGGTCCCCTTCACATTTCTGTGAACAGTGCACGTGCATCCACGTGCTTTTATTTCCTCGGCTTCTCCAACATTGTTTCCATATTTTTTTCACTTTTGACAACTTGCAGGGTGTAAGGTGTTTGCATGTGCATTGCTCTTCTTGGTGAGTTGGAGCATTTTTCCCTAGGGTTGCTCACAGATTGCCACTCCTTTGAGAACTTCTTTTTTGTATCCTTAACTATTAGGGGATGACTTTCAGACTTAGTATTTGTATCAGTTCCCTGTAGCTCTTGCCTAAAGATCTTTATCAGTTAGCTGTGATAAAGTGAGGATTTGCATCCTCCACCTTGATCCACACTAAACACATTTTCCTCCCCTCAGCCATTTCTGCATTAGACCATCGTACCAAAGCTTTTCAGTTTTATGTTGTCAGAATTGTCTCTTGTCTTTTGCCATCTCCTCTGGCCCTTTGTTGATTAAGAATATTCTGCTTAGTCCTAATGGTGAGATTCCCTCCATTTTCCTCCCATTTTTTAATGATGTTAGGCACCCAGACTTGAGAACTTACTGTGCTCTGCCATGTAAGTGGCTTGTTGTCATTGGGTCATTTCCATCGTGTCTGAACCTTCATGACCCCATTTGGGGTTTTCTTGGCAGAGATACCGGAATGGTTTGCCATTTTCTTCTCCAGATCATTTTACAGATGAGGAAACTGAGGCAT